ACAATGACCCAGCATGGCCACGGCATTAGCAGAAAAGGATGAGGATCCCCGGCCGTGCCTTTGCCTCACCATCTTATTTGAGCTGCTTCAGAGGGGCCGGTCGCTGGTTCAGGCCTCGGGCGCAGTCGCAGCCACGTGCTGCTGCTGGTTCTGGCCGTTTGGCTGCAAAGCCGAGGAAATATCCCCGTTCTTAGGATCTGCGCTTCTCAGGCTGGGACGGCTCCTGAAAGACAAGCTGTCCTGCGTGGTCCAGGACCTGACCGCCTGCTTGTCCTGCCGGAGAGACTCCAAAGAAGACAAACAGCCGGTAACTGTGGGCGGATGGGTTTCTGTGTGGGGCTGGGACGGCTGATAGTTCAGACTCTTCACACTTTAAGCTGCAAAGTTTCACACAACCAGCCCACATCCCTCTGTGCAGTAAAAATAATCGAACAAATGCAAGCAGGGAGTCGTTTTACTGTCAGAGTGCTCGCAGCTCGGTTTGAGGCTCGTGGTGACGGCAGGTAGTTGCTGTATCGTGCATCCTTTGCTTTTCTGGGTCGGACGCGGTCTACAGAATGACGTTTGCCATTACTGTGAATTATTTGTCACCGAGAGGTGTTTAACATCAGCAACAAGCGTCGCCACTTAACCTTTTATTCAGTGTGGGCATCCCTTTGAGAGGGAACAGCATCGAGTCGTGGCATTACTTTGTCTTCTGGCTTTAATGCAGTGGAGTGCATGTGAATAGCCTCGGGGGCTGAGGAGAACGGGTGTTTTAATGTGGAGCTGGCTTCATTATTAAAACACACTCCTCTCTCTAAGTCCTCGGAGACTTGGCGGAATAATATTTGTTTAGGATGAATAATAAAAGGCGTAAATGGGCTGGAGCGGAGCGCGACGGGGCCGGCCCTCCCCGCTCGTATTTCTCTCTCCTCCCCTCTGCTCTGTTTGATTTACGAGTGCGCGTCTTCTTTTATTGAGCTTTGAAAAGAAGATGGCACGGTGGCACTATAGCCCGCTAACACGGCAAATGAATCACCGGCCTGCCCGGCGGCCGCGGGCCTCCGCTCTTTCTCGCGCGCGCTCTTTCTCGGCCTCACGGTGTCACGACAAGGCCGTTTGTTTTGAAGGATGGTCGACGCCAGCCCCGGGGACACGCCTGTTTTTCATGCCCTCCTCCTTATCTCCTCCCTCCCCTCGTTTGTTTGTTTATTCCTGCAAAGATGGGGCTCCTCCGCCGGTAAAGCGCGAGGCTTCTCCTTTGATTTGAGCAGCGTTTCATCTGCGAGGCAGACTGAGCTCTGTACATAATGACTCCATCGGAGCATTAAAGGGAGATAGAGATGCTGTTTAGTGTTTATCTTGCATCCTCCCACTCTGACAGAGCTCAGCTGTGTTTTCTTTTTCTTTTGTTTTCTCCAAGTAAAAATAAGTGAGGCTTAATTATATGCAGCGGCATGCTTTACTAGCTTACTCAGTATAAAAATATTGTACGTGCATGTGCACACGAACTGAAAACACTGTCTCTTTAGGACGTAGACGGATGACCGCGGGGTGAGAGGAGTCTGCACATGTGGAAGAGTCCAAATTTAAACAGAACTTCATCTCATTTGGTGCAGTTTGTAAAGTTTAGTCCCGATATGCCAAAGCTGAGGATGCTCCTGCTCACACCTGGACTTGGCAGGAAGACGTCTGCTATTATGCATTCACTGACTGCAAATATAAAAGGCTTGAGTGTGAAGGCTTTGCAGACAAACTTGCCCAATGGGCAACAGCTGGGGGTTAAGCTGCGAAAGAGGAAGCGCCACAGCCTCGGTTTGCATCAGATGCCGTTCCCTTTCTCCTCCACCGCTCCCCTCCCGCTGTGCGCCGCCACCGTGAGTCAAAATGAGACGTTCATGTCACGTTTACTACAAAAACATTGAGAACTGATTGTGATTCCACACACCTGCTGGCAGGTCTGCAGCGTTAGATGCAGTTTGGTGCATTTACACAGCATTTTACAACCAGGCAGGAAGCTGCAAGTAGACGTAAAAGAACAGCAGCAGGAAGCTATAGGACAAGTAACTAACCTTCCTAATTGTAATCCCTT